GGTAGTCCTGAGTTTATCCACGACAAGTACATTTACATCTATTCTTGGCAGACAGGCAGAGGTAGTTCCATCGCGCCAAGATTAAAAAAGAAAATTGCAAGTGTAAGTGTAATGCACCAGTCAATTCCACCTGTTACCATCCCCCCCCCCCCCGGAATACCCCGGGGATTTGTAAGATTCTGTGTCCCGAGGGCGGAGATTTTGTACAACAATGTTGCCCCGAGGGTGGGGGGCGGGGACAACTTGACCGATCGCCAGATCCACGCGGTCGCCAGATGAGTATTAAACAATGGAAGAATTCGCCAGTAAACCGACTATTGCGGGCGATTGGCTGGAAAAGCAAGGTATTGGAAAGTTGAAGACTTTGTTTGAAGGTAATAAAATGTTAATAACTTCTGTTGCTTTCCCGTTGCCCGAAGAAACAATGTCTTTATACGTTCCGATTCAAAGGAAGATTATCCATTAGAACTTTCACCCAAGCAGCAACTTCGTTTTTCAGTGATACACCGATGTTACGTTATTTAACATGCTTTTCCGTTGCCCGGGGGCGTGGAATTTGTAATTTTTGGCAGCCCAGGGCGGGGAATTTGTAGTCTCACGAGGGGGGGATGGTAACAGCTGGAATTGACTGTGCATAAGTGATAGATACAATATGAGCGACAGATCTGTATGGGCATTTACAAGGCGATCCGAAAGCGAGCCATTGAAAATCCCATACAGATCTGACGCGAAAATTGCTTCGAGCTTACGAACATAGATAAGAATCTCAACTGGTTAGAGGCGAGTTGGTTATTTGCATGGCGTGGTCGAGGAGCTGAACTCGAGACTACCGAGAACAAATCCAGCTAGTGGCAGCATAGTGAGCTTGAACCCGTGAACTCCGGATTACAAGATCAGCGCTCTAAACCATTCGGCCATGCTGACAATTTATGGCGATTGTGGGCCGGGCTTTTTGAGATCTAAAACAGACCCAGAATAAGCGATGTCAACGACAGACCACTTATTTTATGTTTGTTCCATTCAGGCTCAAACCACCCGAGTTTGTTTGCAAAAATAACTCGAACGAAGCCCTACCTTTCGCTACTGTCAGAGAGCACCCTGAGAAGATTTTTATCTACTATGGATCTGACACTCTTAGGGGTGGGCACGGCAATTGGAATTGGAATATATGTCATGACTGCTAAGCTATTACGTGAAAACGCGGGTCCTACTGTCATTCTCTCCATCGTGTTGGCTTCCGTGTCAGTGCTACTGTCTGGATTTGCTATGCGGAGTTCAGTTCACGGATTCCAAAGTGCGGCTCAGCGTACGTCTATTGTTACGCAGCTCTTGGTGAGATATGGGCTTTCGTCGTTGGCTTGACAATGATTGTCGAATACGTTTCTCGCAACGGCCGTCTTGGCGCGAACGTGCAGCGAGTACATTGATTTTATATTCGGAGGGAAGATTTACAACTTTTTCAAAGAAGAAGTTGTTACTTGGAACAATCATGTCCTGGCACCATTTCCAGATTTTTTGGCCTTGGTTTTAGCAATAACAGCGGCTGTTATTGTTGCTATGGGGATGCGGTGGACCATGATACTCAACCGAACTATGTTTGTGTTCAGTTTCATTGCTCTAATCCTTCTTTTCGTAATTAGCTTGTTCTCGTCAGACCGGAAAATTGGGCGCATAATTTCGCGCCATATGGTGTCCAAGACGTGTTGAGAGCAGCTGCTAGTGGTTACTACACTTTCATTGGCCTAGACGTCATAACTTCTGCAAGCGGAGAGGCTCTGAGTCCGCGCTCCTCGGTTCCTTTGTCAATTATATTGACTGTTACTATGGTAACAGTAATATATTGCGGGCTTGCAACTGTCTTCACACTGATAGCACCATACAATCAACTGGGTGATCTTGCAACCCTGGCCACGATTTTCCAAGTTATACCAGGAGCCGAGTACGTTGCTGCCGTTGGAGCTATTTCGGCCACTGTTAGTGGCATGCTTTCTTGTTTGATTGCTGGATCCCGTGTTTCGTTCAACATGGCTGATGATGGCCTTCTTTTCAAGTGTTGTATCATTGATCCTTCCCGTACTATCAATAATGTTATTTTAGCCCGTGGCTTTATAAGTGGATGTTTGGCAGCTTTATTTACCACGGAACATTTGGTAAGAGTTTGTAGTTCACCATTTTCATTTTATTCTTATAATTTTAAAAGTTTCCTAGCAACTTTCTGACAAACGATATCGCTTTGACTGACTGGCTGACTGACTGACTGAATGACTGACTGACTGACTGACTAACTGACTGACTGAATGAATGACTGACTGACTGACTGACTGACTGACTGACGGACGGACGGACGGACTGGCTGAGTGACTTACTGACTGACTGACTGACTGACTGACTGACTGACTGACTGGCTGGCTGGCTGGCTGGCTGGCTGACTCACTGACTGGCTGACTGACTGACTGACTGACTGACTGACTGACTGACTGACTGACTGACTGACTGACTGACTGACTGGCTGACTGACTGACTGACTGACTGACTGACTGACTGACTGACTGGCTGACTGACTGACTGACTGACTGACTGATCGATCGATCGATCGATCGATTGATTGATTGATTGATTGATTGTAATTGATTTCTTTAGATCCAGGTCCTCTCTATTGGCACTCTCTTCGCTTACACCATGGTCGCCATCTCGGTGCTATTAGTTCGCTACCAGCCGGGTGTAGAAGGCGCGGTGTACTCCGGCAAAGAAGCTAAACTTGAACGAACAAACAAATGGCTACAGTCTATCTCCAAGGAACCTGAAATGTTCCCAGATACCTCCCTTGAGAAACGTAAAAGTGACAGCAAGGAAAGAGACATGTGGAAAGAACCCAACAGAATATCTGGTTATAAGGCCAGCTGCGCTGTGTTTTTATTGGTTATTAGCCTATCGTGCCTCGCCGTTATTCTCCCTTCCGTGGTAAATGAGATCCCGAATGGGGTGGGGTGGGCATTCCTGTCCGGTGGTGTAAGTGGCATTTTTACATTGGCTTCTCTGGTGTTTCTAACAAGACAGTCAAGGAACAGTGCTGAGTTTCCCGTCATGGTGCCGTGTTTTCCCTGGCTTCCAATTGTGACCATTTTTATCAATATTCTGCTGATTACTGAGTTGAATTACTTGACATTTGTACGAATTGGTGTGTGGCTGGTTCTGGGTAAGACATTTTCGATAACATTTCTTTTAATGAGAAAGATATTATTCTGTCAGTGTCACAAGCTACTAGGAAAAAAATTCCGAGTTCCCCCAACAGGAGTCGAAACTATGACCTTCCGCACACCGGTCGGACGCTCTTCCACTGAGCTACAGGAGACTCGTGGGAGCTACGGCCATCTCCTGTAGCTCAGTGGTAGAGCGTCCGACCAGTGTGCGGAAGGTCATAGGTTCGACTCCTGTTGGGGGAACTCGGAATATTTTTCCGAGTAGCTTGTGTCACTGACAGAATAATATCTTTCTCATATTTCTACCAAGCTTAAAATATACCATCATTTCTTTCCACAAATTTCTTTTAATATTTTGAAATGTTCAAGTGCTAAAACTTTCCGTTTTTCCCGAAGTCGTTTCAGAATTCAAGCAACTTGACATTAAAGCAATTTTTATTTGAGTGTTGAAAGTAATCCGGAATTGATTTGGCCTTGCTTCACTACGGTCCATGATTGCTTTAAAAAACTCGCGCCACCTACTCAACCAATCAGATGCGTTTTCGTACGTGTTTTTCCCGCGCTTGGCGCTGGTTACGTGTATTTGCTTCGAGTTCTCATTGGTTCATTTTGTCTTTTACGTTTGTTGTGATTGGCCATTGTAATTGCTTTGGTTTTGGTTTCACGACACTAAATTGAAAACCGCTCTAAACACCGATTAATTTATTTCTACATTTCAACATCGCTTTAGCTCTTACACGGTATTCTATTTTTTCATATAAGCAAACTAATTCTATTGTCCATTGTGTGTGTTACAGAGTTGTTGATCTACGCTTTCTATGGATACAGGCGAAGCAATGAAGCACTAAAACCAAAGCAATCACCAGAACGCGACTTCATAATGTACGAGAATCCTGACGTAGACGCGCATTTCAAAAAGATACAACCCACACTAAAGCATAACCAGGATATCGGCGAAAACTGAACCACCGTAAAGTTCCGACCCTCCGGAAGTAGCAGCGATCCCCCGGGGGGGAGTACTCCCTATACTAGAATATACGGGGAGGCTCCGCCCGAAAGGGGTACCTTTTCAGACTGGAAATATTTAAAAGGGTAGGGATTTCACGAGTTGGAGTATAGAAAAGGGTAGGGAAAACTGTCATTTAGGTATGAGGTGGACTGCAGGTTTGAAGTTCTTAGCCATCGTAAGACAGCTTCCTTCCACTTCCTTCTGGGGATATATGTTGTTCATTAAGTTCATTCCAAGTAAGTAAGTAATCTTTATTTAAGCAGGGTGGCCCATTCAGCTCTAGGCTGGTATCCATAGGGGCCCTGCGTCTAAAAAATACATTATATTACAATTTAAGAAGATTTAAAAAATTACTATACTAATTACAATAAGATAAAAAATACTATGATAAAAAATACAATACTAAGGGTATAGAAAAGGGATGCAGTGTTTCTACTGTAGGTATGTGAAAGGGGTACCATTTTCCATGGAAGGTACATGAAAGGGGTACCTTTTCTGTCAAAAATGGTATATAAAAGGGTAAGGGGTTGGACCTCTGGGCGGAGCCTCCCAGTATAAAACTTTTTTGAGTACACCCCCCGGGCAGCGACCCGCAAACGTAAAATTGAAAATAACAGATACAAAAAAATATCTTCCTTATTTCAGGGACAATACATTATTTTATATGATAATTTCGAAGCCAGGAAAGTCTCGCAACAAATGAAAATAAACCCACAGATTTAACTGTGCAATGACTTTCGACACACGTCCCATATATAAGAAAGAAAAAACAAGCTGTCCCGAGCGTGGATGCCTCGATAGTGTAGTGGTCATCACACCCGACATGTAACCAGGGGGATGTGGGTTACATCCCCGCTCGAGAACAACATGTTTTTTCTTTCTTATGGGACGTGTCTCGAAAGTCATTACACAGTTAAATCTGTGGGAATTTTTCATACATTATTTTATTCTGATGTATATTATTATATTATGTATATTGTTTATCCTCAGTTTCGTCTCAATATATATGACAATGACTGATTCCTTGGACTTTAAATTCTTACGGTGGCTGTTAACGGTTTATAGCACTTGTGCTTTAATTGATCGCTACTGCCATCCAAGATCAGTTGATGTTAAAATAATAGTATCAAACGAATGCCCAATCAAAAAAGGTTACCATAGCAACAGATAACCTGTATAAACTACCCTTAATTTTAGCTTTAAGTGCTTATAACTCAAAACGCACTCGGTGACCCCATTTTTTTATTTTTGAAAAATGATCAGCATGCTGTGACCATTATGGAGAGGCTATATTATGGGGGTTTTCAGTTGCAGAGAAATTTGAAAGTTGGATGAAGCGAGAACGAGAGACTGTTCGCTTTTGTTTGACCACGGTTGGGATTCACGCGCGAGCGTCTCGCGCGTGATTCGCGCGTGATTCTCGTGATTTTTGCCCAAACGTGAGCCTTGGGGGGTGGGGGGGGTACTCTCATATGTAAGTTATATAGGTTTTTGCCGCGGGATAGGATATATGGTTTTTGAGGTGCTCAGGCCTTAAAAATACCTTTTTGGTATTGTGATCCTTATATAGGGTTCTTAGCAAAATTGCAGTACTTAAACGCCCAGCTAAACAAAAAAGATGTGGTCAGTTGAAACTGAACTAACCGTTACAGATTCCCATGTACAGAAACTAAATAAAAACGACCTGTTCACACAATTCTGAGTTATTGTTTTTCCCTTAATGGGATGTCATTTTTCGGTTTGGGAGCTTAAAAACGGTTCTTCCCTTAAATAGGGTCAGGGTTTAAGAACCTTCGCGGTACACACCTATCCTAAATTGACGGGAGTATCCTCCCCCTAACCCAACTCCACAATTAACTCGCCCCGCCATTTCCCAAAATTGACTGGATGAGTTGCAGGGGCATATTTTTATCAATAGGAGTGTTGACTGTATACAGACATTACGTCGAATTTGTTTTGTTATTCAAATTTGCCAGCCATCAAACAATAGAACTCTTTGTTTCGACAGCCAATAGTTCTCTGGTTGGCACATTTTAAAATAACAATAGGTGACGTAACGAGAAATATCGCTATAATTGGTCACTTATTTTTCCCCTTATTTTCTACAAATTCTAAAAAATACCCAAAAGTTGCAATGTATATTACAACAACAAACAATTCTTAGCTGGTAATGGCGCAGCCTGATCTGTAAATTGAGTTGCTTGGTCCGAATTGTATTCGAAGGAAACTTGGCAACATAAAACATGTGTAAAACTCTTGTTCGCCCCGCATGAGACATTAGCATAATTATTTCGTTTGCGCCAAAATAATTACCATCGCCTTTTTTATTTATAGAAAACAAGTTTTAATGACCGCTTGTTCATTTTAGCATGAAAAGCTCTTAGTCGCATATTTAGCTTTGGGACCTTGAAAAGCGAATTGTTTAAAGAAAGGTGACTGGATATTTGAGCTTCGTAGTGCCGAATTTGGTCTGTGGAAGCGGTAAGCACTTTTATTCTAACTGTATTATGTTTGCCATGGTTGACTACGTAGAAAAATCCACCACGGTGTTTTCGGTTGGGAATATGGTTAATCAGTAGAGAAGGCATAGCTCTTTATCTTACAACAAACTCAGTACTATTACTACAAAAAATAAATTATTGTGGTTAGAATCATTTTTTTTCCAAATTTGGATGACATCAAAATTCAAACGTTCCTCGTGAATTCGTGAATAAATTCGTGAATAAATTCGTGAATAGACCCTTCCACGGTTTTTTAAACTTTTGATATTGGCCAGTTAGTAAAAATATATCGACAGTGCTGGAAAGAGCACCTTGGAATTAGTAAATTGGCCAAATTTTAGATTCATATCTTGTAAAATCGCAAAGATATAGTTCCACAAGTCACAAAATTTTACAGACGTTTATATGCTGGGGGGCACAAACTTGCCCCCAGGATACAAACGTCTGTAAAATGTGCCGACTTGGTAGAACCATGTTTTCGCTATTTTGCAAGATATCACTCTCAAACTTGGCCTTTTAACTAATTTCAAGTACTCTTTCCAGCAGTGTCGATAGATTTTTGCTAACTGGACAATATCAAAATATGAAAAAACAGTGGAAGGGTCTATATTCGATTTAAACAACGGCTGCAGCTGATCAAACTTTGTCATCATTCAGTTCATCGATGTATACTGGAAAGATAATTTGAAGTTTAAGCGTCATTAGATTCCCGTTTACTAGTAAGATGTATTTAGAGAATTTTATCATTGATTCAAGAAACAATTATATGGGAAAAGCCCGCCTGAGAGGCTGCACTGGTTTTTAGAAAGATAGCCCTGGTTCTAGTACGGCTTATGAATATACATATTTTGCTTCATACAGTCTTCATATAATCTTCGCCAGTGCTGTTTTCTAGATACTGGTAGTTTTAACAAATCGTTGTCTGGAAGAACAATTTGGTTTAGATTATTCATATATAAATTGCAAATTATGCAACTCTGTAATTGTTTATAAAATGTTCTCCAACGTTGCGCGACAACAAAAGGCAAAAAATCTGAATTAAAATAAAGTACAATATGGTAATTTATAGTGAAACGCCACCCTACCGTTTGCCACTGGAGAAAGTTTTGATTAAATTTTGACAACTTTTTGACATCTTTTTGACAACTTTCTGATGGCTTTCATTTCAACCTGTCAATCAAAATGCAGAACTATGAGAGGCGGAGTTGTTAAGCTTCATGTTCGCGTTCGGATAATTGACATCTCCGTCTCCCACAATTGTTGCGATTTGATTTGCTAGTTTACAATGTAAATAGAAGCCATCAGAAAGTTGTCAAAAATAAATCAAAAACTTTGTCGAGTGGCAACGGTAGGGTGCGTTTCACTGTAACACTCAGTGGTTCTTTGAAATATTCCAAGGTTTAAATTTATAACGTCGCTTTTGAAGAAGTAATAAAATAAGTAAGATCAACCCATTTAGCAGGCTCACTCTTACTTTATGTTTTATTCAAAGAAAATGCCTTTTTGCGGATCATTTGGAAAGACTTATAGAAATCTTTCCATGTCGAGTTAGGCCTGGATACGAAAGGTTTTCTTCTCGCGCGTGGTAGGATCCACCGTCATAATAAAAACTCGGAACCGGAACCGGAAACCGCGCAAGAAAAAACCTCTGGCGCATTTCCTTCAACGGTTCTGTACTGTCTCGCAGTCTCGCTTTTTTCGCAAAGGCATTTCAAAGTCTCAATTCGGTCTCGCAATTTAAAAATTCAAAAAGTATCGGTCTCGCAGAGAAAAATGCTACTCTCGCCGTCTCGCAAAGTCTCGAATTTACCATTCGCCACCCCTTAATGGCGCAGGCTGATCTGTAAATTGAGTTGCTTGGTCCTCGGAATTCGAAGGAAACTTAGCAACATAAAACATGTCTAATAAACCTCTTGTTGACCCCGCGTGAAACATTAGCATAATTATTTCGTTTGCGCCAAAATAATTACCAACGCCTTCTTTATAGAAACAAGCGTTCCGGGGCTGACCGCTTGTTTATTTTAGTGATGAAAAGCTCTTAGTCGCATATTTAGCTATGGGACCTTGAAAAGCGAATTGTTTAAAGAAAGGTGACTGGATATTTGAGCTTCGTAGGGCCGAATTGTGGTCTGTGGAAGCGGTAAGCACTTTTATTCTAACTGTATTCTGTTTGCAATGGTTGACTACGTAGAATAATCCACCACGGTGTTTTCGGTTGGGAATATGGTTAATCAGTAGAGAAGGCATAGTTCTTTATCTTACAACAAACTGAGTACTATTACTACAAAAATAAATTATTGTAGAATCATTTTTTCCAAATTATGAACTAGAAATTTGGATGACATCAAAATTCTAAACGTTCCTCGTGAATTCGTGAATAAATTCGTAAATAGACCCTTCACGGTTTTTTAAACTTTTGACATTGGCCAGCTAGCAAAAATATATCGACAGTGCTGGAAAGAGCACCTTGAAATTAGTAAATTGGCCAAATTTTAGATTCATATCTTGTAAAATCGCAAAGATATAGTTCCACAAAGTCACAAAATTTTACAGAAGTTTATATGCTGGGCGGCACAAACTTGCCCCCAGGATACAAACGTTTGTAAAATGTCCCGACTTGGTAGAAGCATGTTTTTCGCTATTTTGCAAGATATCACTCTCAGACTTGGCCGTTTAACTAATTTCAAGGTACTCTTTCCAGCAGTGTATTCACAACTGTATTCTGTTTGCCATGGTTGACTACGTAGAATAATCCACCACGGTGTTTTCGGTTGCCGGGGAATATGGTTAATCAGTAGAGAAGGCATAGTTCTTTATCTTACAACAAACTCAGTACTATTACTACAAAAATAAATTATTGTAGAATCATTTTTTTCCAAATTTTAAATGAGCTAGCTGAGAAATTTGGATGACATCAAAATTCAAAACGTTCCTCGTGAATTCGTGAATAAATTCGTGAAATTATAGACTCTTCCACGGTTTTTACAACTTTTGATATTGGTCAGTTAGCAAAAATATATCGACAGTGCTGGAAAGAGCACCTTGAAATTAGTAAATTGGCCAAATGTTAGATTCATATCTTTTAAAATCGCAAAGATATAGTTCCACAAAGTCGCAAAATTTTACAGACGTTTAGTGTATGCGATATGCTAGGGGCACAAACTTGCCCCCTGAGCATACAAACGTCTGTAAAATCTATTCTATTCTAGTCTATTCGATTTAAACAACGGATACAGCTGATCAAACTTTGTCATTATTAAAATCATCGATGTCCACTGGAGAGATAATTTGAAATTTAATCGTCATTAGATTCCCGTTTACTAGTAAGATGTATTTAGAGAATTTTATCATTGATTCAAGAAAC